ATTCTAGATGGTCCCAGCCCAGCAGGGGCCCAGCCAGGACCCTTGATTTTTGGAATTTTTAGAATTTTTAGAACTTTCATATTTTTTAGAATTGAGTTCTAAAAATTCTAAAAATTCTAAATTTCGGGGGTCCGATTTTTAGAATTTTTAGAATGTTTAGAATTTTTAGAATTGAGTTCTAAAAACTCTGAACATTCTAAATTTTGGGGGTCCGATTCTTCGAATTTTTAGCACTTTTAGAATTCAATTCCAAAAAATCTAAAAGTTCTAAACATTCTAAAAATTCTAAAAAATCAAAGGTCCTAACTGGGCCCCTCCTGGGCTGGGACCATCCAGAATTCAAAAAAAATCTAAAAATTCTACATTTCGGGAGTCCGATTTTTTGAATTTTCAGACTTTTTAGAATTGAGTTCTAAAAATTCTAAAAATTACAAATTTCGGGGTAGAATTTTTGGAACTCAATTCTAAAAATTCTAAAAATTCTAAAAATCAAGGGTCCTGGCTGGGACCCTCCTGGGCTGGGACCATCTAGAATTCTAAAAATTCTAAAAATTATAAAATTCGGGGGTCCGATTTGTAGATTTTTTTTGAATTGATGTCTAAAATTGCTAAAAATTCTAAATTTTGGGGGTCCGAATTTTAGAATTTTTAGAATTTTTAAAACTCAATTTTAAAAATTCTAAAAATTCTAAAAATCGGACCCCCAAAATTTAGAATTTTTAGAATTTTGTAGAATTCTAGATGGTCCCAGCTCAGGAGGGGCCCAGCCAGGACCCTTGATTTTTAGAATTTTAGAACTTGTAGAACTTTTATAATTTTTAGAATTGAGTTCTAAAAATTCTAAAAAATCTAAATTTCGGGGGTCCGATTTTTAGAATTTTTAGAATGTTTAGAATTTTTAGAATTGAGTTCTAAAAATTCTGAAAATTCTAAATTTTGGGGGGTCCGATTCTTCGAATCTTTAGCACTTTTAGAATTCAATTCTAGAAAATCTAAAAGTTCTAAACATTCTAAAAATTCTAAAAAATCAAAGGTCCTGGCTGGGCCCCTCCTGGGCTGGGACCATCCAGAATTCAAAAAAAACTAAAAATTCTAAATTTCGGGAGTCCGATTTTTTGAATTTTCAGACTTTTTAGAATTGAGTTCTAAAAATTCTAAAAATTAAGATTTTTTAGAACTCAATTCTAAAAATTCTAAAAATTCTAAAAATCAAGGGTCCTGGCTGGGACCCTCCTGGGCTGGGACCATCTAGAATTCTAAAAATTCTAAAAATTCTAAATTTCGTAGATTCTTTTTTGAATTGAGGTCTAAAAATGCTAAAAATTCTAAATTTTGGGGGTCCGAATTTTAGAATTTTTAGAATTTTTAGAACTCAATTCTCAAAATTCTATAAATTCTAAAAATCGGACCCCCGAAATTTAGAATTTTTAGAATTTTGTAGAATTCTAGATGGTCCCAGCCCAGGAGGGGCCCAGCCAGGACCCTTGATTTTTAGAATTTTAGAACTTGTAGAACTTTTATTATTTTTAGAATTGAGTTCTAAAAATTCTAAAAAATCTAAATTTCGGGGGTCCGATTTTTTAGAATGTTTAGAATTTTTAGAATTGAGTTCTAAAAATTCTGAAAATTCTAAATTTTGGGGGTCCGATTCTTCGAATCTTTAGCACTTTTAGAATTCAATTCTAGAAAATCTAAAAGTTCTAAACATTCCAAAAATTCTAAAAAATCAAAGGTCCTAACTGGGCCCCTCCTGGGCTGGGACCATCCAGAATTCAAAAAAAACTAAAAAATCTAAATTTCGGGAGTCCGATTTTTTGAATTTTCAGACTTTTTAGAATTGAGTTCTAAAAATTCTAAAAATTACAAATTTCGGGGGTCCGAATTTTAGAATTTTTAGAACTCAATTCTAAAAATTCTAAAAATCAAGGGTCCTGGCTGGGACCCTCCTGGGCTGGGACCATCCAGAATTCAAAAAAGACTAAAAAATCTAAATTTCGGGAGTCCGATTTTTTGAATTTTCAGACTTTTTAGAATTGAGTTCTAAAAATTCTAAAAATTACAAATTTCGGGGGTCCGAATTTTATAATTTTTAGAACTCAATTCTAAAAATTCCAAAAATTCTAAAAATCAAGGGTCCTGGCTGGGACCCTCCTGGGCTGGGACCATCTAGCATTCTAAAAATTCTAAAAATTCTAAATTTCGGGGGTCCGATTTGTAGATTTTTTTTTTGAATTGAGGTCTAAAAATGCTAAAAATTCTAAATTTTGGGGGTCCGAGTTTTAGAATTTTTAGAATTTTTAGAACTCAATTCTAAAAGTTCTAAAAATTCTAAACATTCTAAAAATCACGGGTCCTGGCTGGGCCCCTCCTGGGCTGGGACCATCTAGAATTCTAAAACTTCTAAAAATTCTACATTTCGGGGGTCCGATTTTTAGAATTTTTAGAATTGAGTTCTAAAAATTCTAAATTTTTTGGGGTCCGAATTTTAGAGTTTTTAGAATTTTTGGAACTCAATTCTAAAATTTCTAAAAGTTCCAAAATTCTCAAAAATCTAAAAATCAAGGGTCCTGGCAGGGCCCCTCCTGGGCTGGAACCATCTAGAATTTTACAAATTCTCTTAACTAAGACTTGGTTATCAGAAGGCGAATGGCCCGTTCACATTATACATAAAGTTCCCTCGTACGGGGGGGGGCGCAGCCAACAAGACTGAACAAGAAACCTTTTGGGAGAATCACATTTTCGGGATTCGGGATTCGGGATTCAGGATTCGGGATTCGGGACTCGGGACTCGGGATTCGGGCTGGTCCCATCCTCAGATTCGGGATTCGGGATTCGGGGCTTTTGATTCGGGATTCGGGGCTCGAATCACATTGTCGGGATTCGGGATTTAAGATTCGGGACTCGAATCACATTTTCGGGATTCGGGATTCTTGATTCGGGCCTCGAATCACATTTTCGGGATTCGGGATTCTTGATTCGGGCCTCGAATCACATTTTCGGGATTCGGGATTCGGGATTCAGGATTCGGGATTCGGGACTCGGGACTCGGGATTCGGGCTGGTCCCATCCTCAGATTCGGGATTCGGGATTCGGGATTCGGGGCTTTTGATTTGGGATTCGGGGCTTTTGATTCGGGATTCGGGGCTCGAATCACATTGTCGGGATTCGGGATTTGGGATTCGGGACTCGAATCACATTTTCGGGATTCGGGATTCTTGATTCGGGCCTCGAATCACATTTTCGGGACTCGGGATTCGGGATTCAGGATTCGGGATTCGGGACTCGGGATTCGGGCTGGTCCCATCCTCAGATTCGGGATTCGGGGTTCGGGATTTGGGATTCGGGATTCGGGATTCGGGCGCGAATCACATTCTCGACCAGCTTCTCCGGATCACGTCTCGAAAATAACGACTAACCAAAGAAGTGTTAACAAGGAACAAGAGGCTATTTCTTTGTATGGATATCATTTCTGCAACAAATACAGAGTTAACAAGAAGCATCTTATGAAGTGATGGGTATTTGTTGACTTCATTTCTTACGACCAATTGCGTTTGTCTTAATCACCTTGTTCATCTGGGAATTGTCCCCACCGGCAAGAAGTGAAAGGAACCATAGAACCAACACAAATCGTGTGAACAAGTCAAGGATTTTGCAGATACCCGTCTATCGCCAAGCGTTCTTGACCATTGACTGCCAATGAAGAAAATCATCCAAGAAGCACTCTTTCTCTCATGCAAACTGACGTTTTTTGTCTCTTAATACCTGTTCCCGGACAGCTTCCCTTCCATCTTCTTCCCGGCCCTTGAAATCTTTATTCTTGGAGAAGGTTTCACGGCAGGGAGAGTTAACCCTCCTCTAGACAGTTAGTTGCAACAAGGATAGCTTTCCCACTGGCGGAGATTCGGCGTGAGGACTATCAAACAAGACAGTAAGTGAAAAGAGAACGAAGAACTACTCACCATCCGCCCTTCCCTCCTCCAATTAGCACTTCCGGAAGGTTGGACAAGTGGTTAGCGTCCCAAAGATAGAGGGAGGAGGACAACCCGCTGCTCTAGGAGCTGCCACAGAGGCGAAGCGACACAAGGGATGGTCTCTTGACCGTATTGTTTACCTGGGGGCTATTGTGGTTTTTATCTTCAACAGCCAACACTCAGAGGCACATACAAACCCCAAGGGCGGGATTCCAGCGGCTTCCATCGCTACATCTTGATTTAGTCCAGAAGAAAGAAAGGCGTGCAAGACCGGATGGGATCACCTGTTTACGCCGTTCTCCGGGTACAACCGTGTGACACCTTGGGATTTGTAACGGTCGGAAGTGGACTGACCGACCGACCGACCCACCCACCCGCCCACCCGCCCGCCCGCCCGCCCACCCACGCAAAAAGCAAAAGTCAACCAACGAATCAACTAAACAACCCAACAACCAACCGATATTGGGCGTGCTTGTCCATGCAAATTCTGAGCTGTAGGGTGGCTGGTTGGTCAAAAGGCTTTTGTGCCAGTGCAAAGTGAGGCAGCTGGACGAGATGCGGGAGGCTGTGGTCAGACCGGGGTCGTTGCACAATGGGGTTGAATCATCAGGACGCAGAAGGGTCCGAGATATTGCAAGATTAGGAATGCCTTTGTTTGGGAGAGGCCTCAGTAGAGTCAGCAAACAAAATGTGGAAGGTCATTGGTGCCGCCCCGCTGAACAGGGTCGGCACACCCTTCCTTGACTTTCCAGGGACAAGGCACGGTGGCCAGTGCTGTCTGGCAAGCTTTGGCTCGCAACCATGGTGTGGGCCAACTTGCGGCTGGAAATGCCAAAGTTGTGGCGGAACATGCCGTGGCTGAAGGTGGCAAAAGCAGGAGGAGTACAGTTACGCCGCATCCTCAGCAGCCAGCTGCGTTTGCAAGGTTCTTGGCAACCATCTGACGGTATGGCTCCCCATTGCTTGCCATGAGCCTTTGGCACGGAGGACCTCGGGCCCGCACAGTCGACCATTGAAGCCACCGCAGCCATGGACGATGACAGGGCACTTGACTTCGAGCTGGCGGAGAAAGCAACTTTCTTGGAGTATCTGCCTGTTTGCCGGATAAGGCGGTCAGCAAGTTGCCCCGGAAGACTCAAGCAAGACGGCTCCACGGAGAACCCTTTGCTGGAGAGCAGCATTGGTTGGAATCTGCCACATGACGTCAGTGAAGGCTGCGAGGCGTGGAGCAGAAGCGAGACTGTGAGCACATGCAGCCAGCACTCGGAAGTTGCTGAGAGCACTCCTCACGGTCGAGAGCCCGAATGGTCTGTTGGGTCCACGCTGCATCCTCAGCGCTGCAAGCCCTGTGCTTGGTTTTGGCGCCCGGCTGGCTGTGCCAGAGGTGCTTGCTGCCAGCACTGCCACGCATGTTTGCCTGGCGAGATGGTGATGCGGAGGAGGCAAAAGCGAGTGCTCGTCAAGTCTATTCGCAAACTGGTGAAAGAGACACCACTGGCGGCACTACCTGCGCAGCTGTGCTTGCCGGCGGCAGTGCCCAGGCTGCCGTGGTGACTAGATAAGCGCCGATTGGTTGCCAGCTGAGGCAGTTGAATTCAGTGCCACGAACAGAAGAGTAGCTGGCTAGCTGCGCTCTTGCGAAGGACATGCCAGTGTTTTATGTCTGTGAGATTGCAAGCTGCTCAGCCCACTTCTGCTGCATGTATTTTTGAATGTATAGGCCTGCCAGTTCCTTTGCTTGTGTGGACGTTTGTGTGCAATCGGGATCGCTTGCCTCATCTATGCATAGGCTAGCAAGTGGCTAAGCCTTGCCGCTTGTTGTTGAGTCTCTCGTGCTCGCGTTTTTTCGCGAAGTTTGACTTTTGACATTCTGCGCTACAGCTTTGCGATGATGGCGGCGATGTCGATAGTGCCAATGTCCTGGTGAAGGTACTTGCTGTAGATCCAAGGCCTAACAATAATTACTTTTGTGCAGTTTGGTGGGCTGGAAGCAGCCTAACCCGCAGAAGTGCACGAATGTTGGCTTTCGCCCAGCGGGCGCTAGAGTCACTAGAGTCACTGGAGAACAGTGACCACTAGGCCGCCAGCGACTGTCAGCAAACATGTTCTAAGGTGTTGCTGCAGCGTTTTGCCAAACACAGACGCGCCATTGAGCTGTAGGCCTGCTGGTTGCCACACACGATTTTGCCAGGTTGGCTGCAAAGTGAGGCAGCTGGACAAGATGCGGGAGGCTGTGGTCAGCCCGGGGTCGTTGCACAATGGGGTTGAATCATCAGGACGCAGAAGGGTCCGAGATATTGCAAGATTAGGAATGCCTTTGTTTGGGAGAGGCCTCAGTGGAGTCAGCAAACAAAATGTGGAAGGTCATTGGTGCCGCCCCGCTGAACAGGGTCGGCACACCCTTCCTTGACTTTCCAGGGACAAGGCACGGTGGCCAGTGCTGTCTGGCAAGCTTTGGCTCGCAACCATGGTGTGGTGGGCCAACTTGCGGCTGGAAATGCCAAAGTTGTGGCGGAACATGCCGTGGCTGAAGGTGGCAAAAGCAGGAGGAGTACAGTTACGCCGCATCCTCAGCAGCCAGCTGCGTTTGCAAGGTTCTTGGCAACCATCTGACGGTATGGCTCCCCATTGCTTGCCATGAGCCTTTGGCACGGAGGACCTCGGGCCCGCACAGTCGACCATTGAAGCCACCGCAGCCATGGACGATGACAGGGCACTTGACTTCGAGCTGGCGGAGAAAGCAACTTTCTTGGAGTATCTGCCTGTTTGCCGGATAAGGCGGTCAGCAAGTTGCCCCGGAAGACTCAAGCAAGACGGCTCCACGGAGAACCCTTTGCTGGAGAGCAGCGTTGGTTGGAATCGGCCACATGACGTCAGTGAAGGCTGCGAGGCGTGGAGCAGAAGCGAGACTGTGAGCACATGCAGCCAGCACTCAGAAGTTGCTGAGAGCACTCCTCACGGTCGAGAGCCCGAATGGTCTGTTGGGTCCACGTTGCATCCTCAGCGCTGCAAGCCCTGTGCTTGGTTTTGGCGCCCGGCTGGCTGTGCCAGAGGTGCTTGCTGCCAGCACTGCCACGCATGTTTGCCTGGCGAGATGGTGATGCGGAGGAGGCAAAAGCGAGTGCTCGTCAAGTCTATTCGCAAACTGGTGAAAGAGACACCACTGGCGGCACTACCTGCGCAGCTGTGCTTGCCGGCGGCAGTGCCCAGGCTGCCGTGGTGACTAGATAAGCGCCGATTGGTTGCCAGCTGAGGCAGTTGAATTCAGTGCCACGAACAGAAGAGTAGCTGGCTAGCTGCGCTCTTGCGAAGGACATGCCAGTGTTTTATGTCTGTGAGATTGCAAGCTGCTCAGCCCACTTCTGCTGCATGCATTTGTGAATGTATAGGCCTGCCAGTTTCAATTTTTGTTGCAGGCATTTTGTTTGCAGGTTATTCTGCCCAAGTTTCGCGTGTCATGGGCGATCTGACAATCAATTCTTTTGTTCTAATGTGTGGTGGGCTGGTTCGCCCCTACTTGTACCATGCAGACAGTAGAGCCAAACAATAGGAGCGGCGACCATTCGGGTCAGATTGGATGAGCACACGGCCATTGTTCATCCCTCGAAGGTTCTTCGTGGAACATGTGGAATCCAAGACGGACATGTCTCGTGGCAGTTTTCGATATCACCAAACCATAAGCAACCAATGACCCGAGCCAGCGCACAGATTCGACTGCAGCTCGAAAGCTCCGTGCATGCTCGAGCCCAGGTGGAAGCAACGCCATTCAGCAAGGTGGAGTGAGCGGTTGTGGTGAGACCGAAGCGGCTGCATGGAGGGCAAACTTTGTTTATTCTTATTGCTCCAGGATTCGAGTCCATTTCAGATCTTGGATTTCTATCTTCCTGCGTTAGAGTGAGCCACTGTGTTGCCTTTTGGACAATTCGAGACATTGCCTTCCCAGTCTCATTCGCAAATCTGAACAGAAGTGCATGTATGCATCGGAGTTTTTTTTCCCCCAAGGTTAATGTTTGCCAAGACCAGCTGTTCAACATGTGTGAAATGGCCAAAGGACGTCCTTAGTGGGTTTAGTACGGATGGTCATGGATCGGGATCCCGGACAGAGACTGCACGCATTACTTAAAGGAACCCTGACAATGCCTACCAAGGGCATGGAGTCCGACATGGTGTTTCCTCGCTTGTCTCTGAATAGCTTTCCGCCTTACGTCGGGCGGCCCTTTTTTGAAGTAAGTCGGCCCCCACCCGCACTCTCGAGTACTCGTAATTCTCGCTTCCTTGTTCCGTCAGGTCCATCATTCTGTGTCGAATAAAAACAACGTGCCCCCAACCAGTGTCCTGCAGCAGTTCAACACGGTTCTACCCACTTTCAAGACTCAAGATGGCTTTGCTGTCCCACATCGCCGTACTGTTGGCTGCGTTTGCGTGAAGCTGCATATTGGCACGCCGTCCCATGTTGTTGCCTCTGAGTTATGGTGGCGCAGCCTTTGATATAGGGATGATGTTTGCCCTGATCCAGTCCGACCTTGCTGGTTGCAGCCCCTCACATTGTTGCATCATCGGACATGTCATCCCATCGCTACTTTTCACTTGCCCAAAGCTGTTTTTTAACCTTTTGGTTTCCCTAGTTCAGTCAATATTTTAGTTATGACCCCAAAAGGTTAACCTTTTATTTGCAGGTCTTCGGGGCAAGTGAGAAATACCCGATTCGTGGTTTCGCCGGTTGCATCATGGTTCGGAATGCTTTGCGCCATTATGTTGATGCTCTGGACTTCCATGTCAAACGGGCGTAGTCATGGCGCCTTATGAACTCCGCATGGTTTCGGCAGGCGCAGCTTGTGTGAGACAGGCGCGTGCGAGTGAATGCGTGAATGCGTGAATGCGTGCGCGTGCGTGCGTGCCTGCGTGCGTGCTTGTGTGCGTGTGTGTAGGGGGGCCAGCATGTGCCAAAGCTGTCGTGCCATTTCGATGCTAAAGCTGTGTTGGTTGCCTTTGATTTTCAGCCTTCTGACCTCCTGCACCAGCGTAGGCTGAAAGACAGCTCAAACATGATGCGGGAGCAAATCTGTGCAGTGGCCTCAGCCAGTCACCAGCCGTACCTGCAAGGTTGAAGGCGAGCGCTCTGTTCAAGGATAGCTTTGCTCCATGGAATGTTGGCTCGAATGACCAAGGCAGGTGCTTGCAGCAATTAGGCCCGACCCACCCATGGAAGATGACAACGTGCATGACTTCAAGCTGGTGGAGAACAAGACATTCTTGGAGTACCTGCCCATTTGCCGGGCCGGGCGGTCTGCAAGTTGCCCCGGGAGGCTGAACCGGACTGGCTCGGTGGAGTGTCTTTTGCCAGCTTCTCGTCGCTCAAGCCGGAGCGCGAGCTTTGCTTTTGGCCTGCCTAGACCTGGCAACGAAGCGTTGTCAGCTTCCCCCCGCAACAAGCCAAACTATGCCAAAGCTGGAAGCAATGAGACGCTGGCAAGCGCAGCTGACACTGCGACCACTACATGCAGCCAGGAAGATGCTGATGAAACAACAAATGGTCGAGAACCCGGATGGTCCGCTGGGTCATCACTCCACCCACAGCGCTGCAAGCCCTGTGCTTGGTTTTGGCGGCCGGCTGGCTGTGCCAGGGGCACAAACTGCCACCACTGCCACACGTGTCTGCCAGGCGAGCTGGTGAGGCGTAGGAAGCAAAACCGGGTGGTTGCCAAGACTTTTCGAAGCCTTGCCAAAGAGCGGCCGCAACTGGCGCTGCCCTCGCAACTGTGCTTTCCCGCCGCAGTTCCCATGATGTGGCCGGTGGAAATGTGCTTTTCGGCTGGCTCAGGCCATTGAATCGATTGAATTTGAATGCATGTCCACCATGGCAAGCGGTACGGGCTGCCATGCTGGGACTTTGCCACATTGCGGCCTCCAGGGCCACTGTACAGGGGCAGTCGTGCTGAGAGGGCAAGCTGCTTACCCTATGGTCTGCACCAGTGACGGATGTACAGGCCAGCCAGCATCAGGTACATTTTGTTAAACCAGGTGCCTGTTCTTGCTGCCAGGTGTTCAGCGACCCATGTTCTGCCGGAAGTTGGCAGTGGGGCGCTGTCGTGCGTCTGTATAGCAGGTGCGTTGTAGGTAGCCTACAACTCAATACTGAGTGTTGTGTCACGGCATCGCGTGCTGAGCACCGAGTGGTGACAGGATTTATGCATTTTTCAAGCCTGCACGGAAACAAGGGTGCTGCGACAATATGTGTGTGTGATGCACTTGAAGCTGAGATTCATTCGGCAATTCATTTGCCTCCCGATGTCTCCCAACTTGGTGACTGAGCATGTCATTTGCTGGATTCCTTGCCCCCTATCAGAACGCTGCCTACGCACCCTGATGCACGTAGTAGTTTGTCCTGCTAACACAAAATGGCCGCGTGGCGTCGCCCCAGCAATCAGTTCATCTTTCTCCCAGTCGGGTTTCTTTCTGCAAGTTCCGAGGCCGGGTAGCCACTTCCCTTTCTTGGATCAACATGATGTTCGCTTGAGCCTGGGTCGACGGGGGCGTGTTCTGTGAACATTATTGTGATCCGGTCTGCCTGGCTATGATGCTCACATCACTCTACCGCTGCCCACACTCTCATGGTGCTTCTCGCGCTACCATGCTGCCGGCATATGCGCAACTGCATCATGATGCCCCGTCGTGGTGCTGCCCGTGTTGTCTTGGTGGTGCCCACTGCTTGGGGCCTGTGCTTGCGTAGTTCTTCTTGTGACTTGTCCGGTCACCAGCCGTACCTGCAAGGTTGAAGGCGAGCGCTCTGTTCAATGATAGCTTTGCTCCATGGAATGTTGGCTCGAAGGACCAAGGCAGGTGCTTGCAGCAATTAGGCCCGACCCACCCATGGAAGATGACAACGTGCATGACTTCAAGCTGGTGGAGAACAAGACATTCTTGGAGTACCTGCCCATTTGCCGGGCCGGGCGGTCTGCAAGTTGCCCCGGGAGGCTGAACCGGACTGGCTCGGTGGAGTGTCTTTTGCCAGCTTCTCGTCGCTCAAGCCGGAGCGCGAGCTTTGCTTTTGGCCTGCCTAGACCTGGCAACGAAGCGTTGTCAGCTTCCCCCCGCAACAAGCCAAACTATGCCAAAGCTGGAAGCAATGAGACGCTGGCAAGCGCAGCTGACACTGCGACCACTACATGCAGCCAGGAAGATGCTGATGAAACAACAAATGGTCGAGAACCCGGATGGTCCGCTGGGTCATCACTCCACCCACAGCGCTGCAAGCCCTGTGCTTGGTTTTGGCGGCCGGCTGGCTGTGCCAGGGGCACAAACTGCCACCACTGCCACACGTGTCTGCCAGGCGAGCTGGTGAGGCGTAGGAAGCAAAACCGGGTGGTTGCCAAGACTTTTCGAAGCCTTGCCAAAGAGCGGCCGCAACTGGCGCTGCCCTCGCAACTGTGCTTTCCCGCCGCAGTTCCCATGATGTGGCCGGTGGAAATGTGCTTTTCGGCTGGCTCAGGCCATTGAATCGATTGAATTTGAATGCATGTCCACCATGGCAAGCGGTACGGGCTGCCATGCTGGGACTTTGCCACATTGCGGCCTCCAGGGCCACTGTACAGGGGCAGTCGTGCTGAGAGGGCACGCTGCTTACCCTATGGTCTGCACCAGTGACGGATGTACAGGCCAGCCAGCATCAGGTACATTTTGTTAAACCAGGTGCCTGTTCTTGCTGCCAGGTGTTCAGCGACCCATGTTCTGCCGGAAGTTGGCAGTGGGGCGCTGTCGTGCGTCTGTATAGCAGGTGCGTTGCAGGTAGCCTACAACTCAATACTGAGTGTTGTGTCACGGCATCGCGTGCTGAGCACCGAGTGGTGACAGGATTTATGCATTTTTCAAGCCTGCACTGTACACGGAAACAAGGGTGCTGCCACAATGTGTGTGTGTGTGATGCACTTGAAGCTGAGCTTCCTTTGGCCGTCAATTTAGACATTATGTCATCATTATGTGAACTTGTTCTTGTTTGTTTTGTGATTCTTTTCACAAGTGCCGTGTTCCAAGTTCGGCCGCTTGGTCAGCAGTAACTTTATTCAGGCTTGATGTGGCCTCAGCTTGTGTGGGGCATTGGCTGGAAGGACCAAGACCAGTGCTTGCAGTAGGCCCGGCCCTGTTACTGTCATGGAAGATGACAAGGCTCTCGACTTCAAACTGGTGGAGAAACAGACGTTCTTGGAGTATTTGCCCGTTTGCCAGACCCGGCGTTCTGCAAGTTGCCCCGGGAGACTCAGCCGAGCCAGCCAGATTGGGAACTTTCTGGCACAGGCCCCCGGCAGACGAGCAAACCAAAGCAGGAACTTGGCTGGCAATCCTGCAAGACATGAAGCCACGTTGTCAGCGTCTATCCCGCACACAGGAAGTGCAAGCGAGAGCATGGACAGCCAAGAAAGCTTGCAGAAAGAGAGCACACCAGATGGCCAAGAAATCGAACGGTCCGCCGGGTCATCAATGCATCCACATCGCTGCAAGCCCTGTGCTTGGTTTTGGCGGACAGCTGGTTGCGCAAGAGGCGCTGCTTGCCAGCACTGCCACCTGTGTTTGCCTGGTGAGCCGGTGAAGCGCAGGAGGCAGAACCGAGCCCTTGCCAAGTCCATTCGCAAGCTTGCGAAGGAGGCTCCGCCGCAAACGCGGACGAACAACCCTCCGGCAGAGGTTCCTATCACGTGGCGCTTTGCAGCTCCCAGCTCAGGTGATTGAATTCAGCGCATGCCCTCCATGGCAAGCGCTATTGCTGCCATGCTGGGTTTGACATGTGGCCATGGGCCCAGATAGGGCACTTGCACAGGGGCAGCCGTGCACTCAGGATGGGCAGACGCTTTTGTCCAGTCTCCGAGCTGCAGGCTGCTCAGCCCATTGTCGTACCAGTGATGGATGTACAGGCCTGCCCAGCTGCAGACACGCGTTGCGCGACGTGCAAGTGTGCATGCTCTGGTTTCAAGGCAGGGAGTCTTTAGCCCGATTGGGCAGGGTGATTTTTAAAGCAGGGGTTGAAGCCGCGCTCTGCGTGCTTATGAGGCATCACGCTCTGAGATGATGCAACTCAGCATGTGCACATCTTTGCCAATTGAAGCTGTACATGTCATCCAGGGATGAGGAAGCTGAGTGTAATGCCAAATGCATCAAGTGCAGTCGAGCTAGGTTGTTGAATTGCCTAAGTGCATGCGTTGGGACCTCTGTATAGTGTCCGTCAAGCCTAACAAATGGCCTGCTCGACATCCGTGAATTGGCATAATTGGAAGGGAACAGTTGGCTCATTGCAGCCATACTGCCCAAGAAACGAGCCAGTTCGAAATGTCCGAGTTGTGCAGCGCATGGCGTCACGGCCAGAAGCTAAAGCTGTTGATGTCATTGCCACTGGTCTTCGAGGCAGGCAGCTCAAGCTGAGCAACGAGTCTGCAGGACGCAGCATATGAGGCTGGGCGGGTTGCAGCGTTGTGAAGCGGCCTGGCTCTTTGGAAAGTCGCTGTAGCGCATGGCTAACTTGCCAAACATGAAACAAAAGGTTGATGCACCTAATTAATAGCATGTGCCACAGTGCCACCCACCCCCCACCCCCAAACTCCCAAACACCCACACCCACACGCGCATGTGTCCGCCCACGCACCCACGCACCCGCGCGCGTACGCACTCGCACATGCGCGTTTGCATGCTTCTTGATCCTGCATGATTTGCGTCACTCTGCTCTTGTAAGCCAACATGCCCGCGTGACTCAGCACTCGGCACCCCTTTGCGCACTCCTGGGCCATTGCCCCAGTCAGCCGCGCAGCCATCAGTGCAACCAGCACGCCTGTTAACGTGTAGAGGCTTTAAGCAGATGCAGCTTTGCAACGCAGAGTGGGACCACTTGCAGTTCGGCCCTCAGGTCTCGCTGCTCGTTGATCAAAGTTGTGAGGTCTGTTAGCAACCTGTGCTGCCCAATTGACTTGCCAAGAGCCTTTGGCACGGAAGCGCCCGGGACAGTTGCAGCAGACCTAGTATGCCCACCGCAGCCATGGAAGACGAAAGGTTTGACTTCAAACTGGTGGAGAGGATGACCTTTTTGGAGTATCTGCCAGTTTGCCAGACAATGCGGTCTGCAAGTTGCCCCGGGAGATTCCACCGAGCTGTCTCTCATGAGTACCTGCCAAAGGCGCGTGGGAGCCCTGCGAACCAAGGGACGAGCTTGGCTCCTTGTCAGCGTAGACCTGCAGGCATCAAAACGTTGCCGGAAGGCACCCTACGCAGCGTGCCAAGCTATGCCAAAGCTGGAAGCAACGAAACGCTGGCGAGCACACAGTGCAGCTTGGAGGATGCGGAGTGCACGGAAAGCCCACCTCACGATCGAGAGCCTGAAGAGTCGGTTGGGTCGTCACTGCACCCACACCGCTGCAAGCCCTGTGCTTGGTTTTGGCGGACAGCTGGTTGCGCCAGAGGTGCTGCTTGCCAGCACTGCCACCTGTGTTTGCCTGGTGAGCTGGTGGAACGCAGGAGGCAGAACCGAGCCCTTGCCAAGTCCATTCGCAAACTTGCGAAGGAGGCTCCGCCGCAAACGCGGCCGAACAACTAACAACCCTCCGGCAGAGGTTCCCATCACGTGGCGCTTTGCAGCTCCCAGCTCAGGTGATTGAATTCAGCGCATGCCCTCCATGGCAAGCGCTATGGCTGCCATGCTGGGTTTGACATGTGGCCATGGGCCCAGATAGGGCACTTGCACAGGGGCATTCGTGCACTCAGGATGGGCAGACGCTTTTGTCCAGTCTCCGAGCTGCAGGCTGCTCAGCCCATTGTCGTACCAGTGATGGATGTACAGGCCTGCCCAGCTGCAGACACGCGTTGCGCGACGTGCAAGTGTGCATGCTCTGGTTTCAAGGCAGGGAGTCTTTAGCCCGATTGGGCAGGGTGATTTTTAAAGCAGGGGTTGAAGCCGCGCTCTGTGCTTATGAGGCATCACGCTCTGAGATGATGCAACTCAGCATGTGCACATCTTTGCCAATTGAAGCTGTACATGTCATCCAGGGATGAG